ATGAGGCATCGAATCAACGTAGTCGATCTGGGCATGTTTAGCAGATTAATTAATGTTGTTCATTTCTGTTAACATTTACTTGTTTAGGCCTTATGGGGTTTGATTCTGTCAGGTCTCTAATGATTGGAGAACTGTTCATCATTTATGCCGTAGAGGACAAACAAGAACGATTACAAGAGGAACAAGAGATGCATTCTTGCACATCACCAGAACTCTCTCATGACAACCTTCCTAACTCGGTCTAAGTCTCATGTCCGATCATCTTGGCATCCATGTGACAATATAATTTAAGAAAAACCTTACTTGTCTGCCACAATTTTAGTGCTGGTTTGGCACATTTCTTGCTTGTCTTGGAGTAGAAAAACAAACAGTCTGATCTCCTAGCATTCTAAGCAGCGTGTTAGATTGCTAGAAGTCGCCTCAGCCATCATATTAATAAAAATATTGCCTCAACATTGTTAGTAATAGAGTTTTTTTTTGTGTTTTTTCTTTTTCTTTTTCCAAATCTTTTAGCCAACTGAAAGGAAAACAGGATAGTATTTCCTGAAGTTCAGTCTCAACATATCCAGGCAATCATCTAAGTCTAGCATGGGTTATTAAAAATGAAAATAATGTACAAATTGTTATTTTTCTTATGAAAAATATGCAAATCGTTTCCCTCTTTACATTATAATTGTCATAAAATAAAATTATTTCAATAGGAAAGCAGGGGAGGGGCATTCTCCTAATGAAAATCCCACTTTACTAGTTCAACCAAAAGAAAAAAAATACAAATCCCTTTCCTCCCCTGAGATTCAGCTACTAGGGCTAAAGAGCATGTGGCATTTCATACATATATATATTAAACTGCATTTCATCATATTAAACATCAAGTATTAACGTCTTTTCTTCTTTGTAAAAATGATAATGAACATTTATAAGTCAAATTTTTACCATGTTCATGTCATATTCATTGTTCATCAAGTAATCTTTGTTAGATTTCAGTATTCATATAAATATCTATTATTCTACTATACATTATATTGATTTAGATTTAAGTGGGTTCAATAATATATACACCTTATTCGTTATTATTTATCAAGTAAGTAAGATAATTGTCTAAGAAAATTTATCCATGTATATCCATTGAATTAGAAATAGATTGTCATCCCTGCTCTATGGTATTGACTTTTTCCACGGAAGAAAACATTGTGAACGTTGGAATAAAAGATTAAAAAAAAAGGGGGATTTCATTTTCTGGCCCGAATTTTAAACTAGCTGGGGCATAGCTGGTCAATACCAAATGGGCCTAGAGGAGATCCGAGATAAGACCTCGTCCATGCAAGAACAGCCAGATTGGTTGTGTTTTCAGTTTTGCTCAAAGTTAAATGGCTGGAAGAATTTAATTAAGCACGATAAAATCCAGCGACAACCATATACGAATTCATGGGTGCTTTAAATTCATTATTTTGATGTATTTTATTAAGGGTATTTGTTTAATGCCTTTTGTTTTCCCGTATTGATGGTGTTTTTTCAATTAAGGTCCAATGATGGTTAACTTTTGGATGAGGTACAAGTTGATTCCATGAGATTTTGGCCAAGCTAGTGTTTCTGGAATATTTGTTCAATCAATCTGATTAGTCTATTGTTAGCAAGATTACTACTAGATTATATTTGATACCTGTAAAATATCCTTTTTTATGTATTTAAAATTTTTTAATGATTAGATAAATATTATTTGACAGAAAAAATAGTTATAATTAAAAAAAACTAAAATAAATATACTATTTTTTATAGAGAAAAACCTAACCATCGTTTGAAAAATATCTCCCGCATGTCTATAGCCACCCTAAACTTTTTATTACAGAGAAAAGGTTAAAACATTAGTAAAAAATTTCAAATTTCTCATGATAAAATACATTTTATTTATCATGATAAAATATTTATAGCATGAAAGGAGCATGAGCTCAATGATCAATTGAGCTTAGACTAGACTCAAATCGGTTTAGTACCTATTTGAATAAAGAAATAATGAGTTATTATCCCTTATTAGATTATTATGTTAAATAACACATCTAAACAAAAACAATAAATATGGATGCATCACTTTCTATTTGTTTTTTCTCCATAGTTATTCTTCTTAAAATGCTATGCTAGCATGATAATTGTTTATTGAGTGAGTGGAATATTGAGTGTTTGATAACATGGTGGTATAGTATGTTTTTAAAATTATTTTTTAATTAAAAATATTTTATTATTATTTTTTATATCAACATATTAAAATTATTTAAAAGTATAAAAAAATTAATTTGATATCTTTTCAGATAAAAAAACATTTTAAAAAGCAGGTCATGACACAAAAAAAAAAAAATATTTATATATATTCAAATTATCATCTAGTGTTAATATCACAATCAAATTCTACCTCAATTCAATTTGAAGTATACAATTGCATAATTGTACCCTTTTCTCTTCTAAATTTCGTAGTTTGTTGTACTGTAATTTAGCAATGCATATGATGATATAATTTTAATAGTTTGTTTATTTAAATATAAAATAAATATATTGTTTATTGTAATGATGTTTTGTAATAATAATATAATCAAAACACTGTATTAATTAATTTAATTATTTATATTTATATTATTCTTGTTGTATGTAAACATGAATAATATCGAACATGGATGAACATGGATGAAATCAAGACATTTCATTCAAATTTTATTTGATCTAATATTTTATTTTTAAAAATATATACAAAAATATTCTAACTATTCGAATTATCTTCTTATTAGTTCAAAACACTTCATAAATTAATATTTATTTGCTGTTTATTGATTGAAATAATTCAAAGTTGTATATAAAATGAGAAACAAAACAATCCTAAAATATGTATATATGATATGATATACATTCCCACGCATATTCCTTTTCTTGTCTCGTTCCGCATGTATTCCACATTCTCGCGCATATTCCTCTGAAGGTTGATGCCAATTAATAATGATAGCTCTGAGAGAGACCGTATGCGTATGTCACTCCTCCAAGGAATTCTTTGCCGGATACCCCCAAAAGCAACTGTCCCAATTAGGTTGCCTGTCGCTCGAGACAGGTATCCAGGTGAGGTAAGACATATTGTCCGAGACACCGAAGCGTGGTGTCGTTCATCTTGAACTAGTTTTCAGATTATTAACCACCGACGAGGAACTCGATACAAACAACATGCCGTCTGGGTAAGAAAGGCACGTCGCCTGGACAAAGGGTTGGTCATGCGCTTGGACGTGTTGGACCGGGGGGCCCTCATCGTGGCCATTGTGACAATGAATGGGTATGAGTTAAGCACTACCTTAATCGCATGGTATATCGAATCCAAAGAACTATCCTTTATATTTGGGCCGATGGCCCATGGAATCAACGCTCTCAATAAGATGTCGTCGTCTTATTTATTACATACAAAATTAAATATGGACACGTGGTGATTGGTAAGTTAATAGATTGATGGCGCGTGCCGAGGTAATTTCTTTATTTTAACATAAAATATGAATATAAAATGCTATTAGAATCTTTTAAATAAATAAAAAAACTCTTGACTTATATCATAAACACAACTATATCAAGCAAGCTAATTTCATTTGTTTCGTGGAAGAATAAATATAATAATTGATAAGTTATAATTTTTTTATTATAACAAATTATAATTAATTTATGATACGATAAATTATGAAGTTTGGAGCACGTTATAACAAGCACTCCATGCATGCATATCTTAAACTTTTTATAATTAAATTAATTGAATTATGATTTTTTAGGCATGAATATTCCGCCATGCATCTATTTATTACTTGCTTTGAAATTAATTTTAATTGTATTTGGAGTGAGTTTTTGAATAAGATCATTTATAAATATATTATTTGTAATTAATGTACAAATTAATTTAAAAATATCTTTCATCGTCAAATAAAAAATTTAAAATTATGCCTGGATTGTTATAAATTTATGCTGAAGCAAAGCATCGATTCCCTTGTATCATTTATAAATATATTAATTCTAATTAATGTACAAATTAATTTAAAAATATTTTTCATCATCAAATAAAAAATTTAAAATTATGTCTGGATTGTTATAAATTTATGCTGAAGCAAAGCATCGATTCCCTTGTTTTTTTTTTTTTTTTTTTTTTTTTGTGAATACTCGTGTCTACTTTTTAACTGTAATACAGTGTATGCACAAATATTGTTTCAAATCAGAGAACAAATTTTGAAAGTAATATATTTAAGCTGATGAATTTAGAAAGAAAAAAACAAAAATGCTAGAATTGCAGCGGTGTCACAAGATGTTGTTGGAACCTAGAAGTGTGCAATATATTTGTTTACGTGGTATGGTCATATTTTTTAAAAAATTTTATTTTAAATTATCTTTTGGAGTTTTTTATATTTTATGTTTTAATATTAAAAATAAATTATAAAAAATAAAAAATATTATATTAATATGTTTTTATTTAAAAATCATTTTAAAAATAATCAATATTGTAATTTCTGAGATAAAGCTAAAACACTTTCTAATCTCAACAATTTTGCTACTAGATAGCCCAACCCATTCATTTTTTATAGTGTTACAGTGAAAGAGTAATGATATTTTATTTACGAGTAAAAGAAAAGGATAAAAAAGCTGCGAATACCAGGGAAATTAAAAAAAAATGCAAGGAATTTTTTTTTTAAAAAAAGACAACACTATTAGTAGTAAAAAAAGACAATAGTCTTGGTTCTAAAATAAATAAATAAATAAAACAAAAAACCTAAGACATTCATTATATTTATTTCCCTTAACTTTAATATAACAGCACAATAAATTAAGTATTTGGAATATTAAGTATTTAGAGCTGTTTGATTTTGTGGTAATATTTATTTTTAAATTTTTATTTTATTTTTTTATATTAATATATTAAAATAATTTTAAATAAAAAAAATGTTTCAGTTTTTTTAAATACTTTTAAAACTAAAAAAAAAAAAAGTCTCCTACGCTTCAAGCCTTCCGATTCCAGAGAACAAAAATCAAATAAAAATAAAAAAGTTAAACGCTAACGGACTCCTCTCACTCTCCCTCGACAAATCCATGACCACTACCTCCCTTTCCATGTCAAAGCTCCATTACTCTCTCAGGTCTGATTCCCTTCTCCCCTCTCTCCCTGCACCTCTCTTTATTTTTTTCCCACTCTTCACACGCAGCACTGTCTATTTACTCGCTTCAGAATCCTTCACTTTTTTTTTCCTGTTAATATCGTTAGATTCTTTGCTTAAACTAAAGCAAAGCTATGAATAATTGCTTGCATTAGAAAGAGATGATTCTGTTTCTAATTGTTTGTTTTTTTTATATATATATTTAGGTTTTGATAGGTTGTGCCTGGATTGTTATTTTGTGTTGTTTTGGTTGGTTAATGATGGCACTAGTTTGTTAATTGAGGGAAAAATGAGCTTTGATTTTTTGATAATAGAGAAATGGAAAGTGATGATTTGTCGAATTGTAAGGATTTGGAAGCTAAGTTAGGGTCACAGAAGGGTTTGTCAAGGAATTTGTTGAAACCTAGGGTTAACAAAGGAATGGAGGAGCAGAAGAAATTGTTGGGGAAGCAAATTGAGGTTGGTATCGATTCAGATGACAATGAGCCCATTGGGTCTTTGTTCAGGTTGAAGAGACCTAGAAACCCTAAAAAGGTTAAGGTGGTTTTGGAGAAGATTGGAGTTAGGGAAGATAAATTGGTGACCGAAGATGAGGATTTGGGAGGAATGGATGATACACTTGCGAGTTTTAAGAAGAAGTTGAAAGCTCCTAAGAAGGGTTTGGGATCTGTAAGTGCCATTCCAAATGAAGGTGACGAGTTATTGGATGGAAATGTGGAGAAAAAAGTACAAAACAAGCATAAGGAGAGAGCGAGTAAAGTGGAGAGTGGTTGGAACAGTGTGGGAACTGGGGGTCATGCTGCGGTTGATGATGATTCGGAGGGTTTGGGATCTCAGGGTGCTCTGTTAGAGAACCAAGAAGAGGAAAGTTTGTTGCCTGGTGAGAGTTCAAGTCAGTCTTTGGATAAGTTGGAAGATTCAATATCAGCTTTTTATCAGAAGAAGCAATCGGGTTCGGTGAGGAAGTCTTGTGCAAATTCGAGTTCAAAGCAAATTAATAGGGTTCAGTGTTTGGAGGCCCGATTAAGCCCTGGATCTGGAGCTGGTTCTGGGGGTTCCAAGGATGTGGATTTAAGTATATTCAGATCCAGTCCTGTCTCAAATGTGGTCTGCAAAGATCTGGAAGCTGGAGACAGTTCCCATATAGTTGCCAATTTGAGTTTGTTAGATTCTCCCTCTAGACAAATTTTGAATACAAAAAACCAGAGGCTTGATAATGGGTTTGATGAAATTTCCTATTGCATAGAAGAAAACACTGATAGAATCAAGGGGCTCTCTGTGAGCAAGGATGAAAGTATGAAATCCAATGACAAGAGACATGGTAAATCTTCAGAAGTTACTGCTGAGGTTGCTGCACCTGCATCTCCAGCATTGGGATCTCAACATGGGGTGATTGAAGAGGAAGAAACGCAGGACCCATGCATCTCAGATTTTAAAGGGGAACCTATGGGGAAACCTTTTAGTTCATATAAAATTTGGAATGAAAGTCATTCTGCTTCAGGCAATAATGATGGCTTGGAAGCTCAGACTTTAAAGAATGGGTTAAAGCTTTGTTCTGTGGGTAAAGCAAGCACCAGGAACGCATTAGAACAACAATCTAAGGGTGTTTCAGCCGCATGCATTTCAAATGCAGAACCTCAAATTTCAATATCTTCAGGCGGAAGAGAAGTCTCAGCCTCCTCTAGCCCTAATAGTCAAAATGATCTGCAGGATCTTGCTTCAGTTCCAAAAAAGGAAAATGTGGAAATATCTGATGTTAGGTTGTCACCAATTACTGTAACATCCAGAGAAGTCCACAAATGTACATTTTCTTTGTGCATGAACAACAACAGGAACTCCTTAGATTATCTTTCGATCAATGAAGAGGCCAATGGACCATCTCCTCGATCTTTAACTCCAGAAGAAAATGAAAGTTATCCAGAAGATTCTGTATCAGTGCCAGATTCTGACATCAAAGATGGTCACTTAGCAGCTTTGCATCGTGCTATGCGGAAGCCCAAAAAGCGCAGACTTGGAGACATGGCTTATGAAGGGGATGCTGATTGGGAGACTTTGATAAATGAGAAACAATTTCTGGAAAATGACCAGGTTGTTGAAAGTGACCGATCTTTTAGAACCAGAGAGAAGTCTGATTCTTCTTCAAATAGTGTCGAGTCTGAAAATTGCAGGATTGCAGCAGTTACAGCTGGATTGAAAGCACGTGCAGCAGGTCCAGTCGAAAAGATCAAGTTTAAGGAGGTCTTAAAGCGCAAAGGTGGGCTTCAAGAATATTTGGAGTGCAGGTTAGTTTTTTTTTTTTTTCAATCTGTCTGTGCCTTGCATGCAGTACAGTCCAGTAATTTCTTTTTACCTTCTTCCCTTCTTTTTGTTTTCTTGTTACAGTTCAGAAGAGCTGTTTTCTTTTGTTAGTTGTTGGTGTTATCAAGTTGACAGAACACCAACGGTTCTTTATATTTGGCGGCATTGGATATTGCTGTATATGCTTTATACTGTTGTTTTTGTATCCACATCTAATAGCTACCCACCACCTCTTCTGAATCAACTGGCAAGTATCATTCCAGCCAGAGCAAAAGATCTTGGAATCTTGGTCTGTTGTGCATTTTATGTGTTGGAATCACAGGGATATCCAAGTAGCCAACTATCCATCCATCGTTCACTTGTTGCTATTTCTTGTTCTATACACTAGTATGTTTGAAGGACCATATATTATTTTATGGATAGTGAATATATCCAATGGAAGGTGGCTTCTGTTAAGAAAGCATATTGTGATTATAGGCTGTCCAATTGCTAGCCTCCTATTTCCATGAAATGGATATCATGTTGATCACGTTTCAGTTTGCATTTTTTATAGCATAGCTTGTAAGAGCAGCAATGCTGTTGTTATTGTATCTTACTATTTTGGCTCTTTGTAGTCTTCCCGCTTAGAGACTAGAATTAGTTATCCTCCTTGTTTCTTGTTCTCCCCAAAAAATATGTTTTTGGGATGGATTATGATTACCATAACAGACTATGGACTGTGCTCTTTTTCCCATTGCTTACTTGATTGCCTTGGTGCATTGCAGGAATCGGATATTGGGTCTTTGGAGCAAAGACGTTAGCCGTATATTGCCTCTTGCAGACTGTGGCATCACTGAGACTCCTTCCCAGAATGAATCTCCTCGTGCTTCTTTAATAAGGCTAATCTATGAATTTCTTGATCAGAGTGTAAGTTGTGTTATTTTTGATTTTGTTCTTTCATGCAAGTTCATAGCTGATGCCTCCTCATCAAAAATAAATAAATAAATAAATAAACAGTCCAATATTTTGGTTCCAGTTACATCATTTCTGGCATCTAAATGCTCATAATATGTTGACAGGGCTATATAAATGCTGGAATTGCTTCTGAGAAAGAGAGTGCAGAACCTAGTGCCAATCACAATTATAAACTTGTCGAAGAAAAAACTTTTGAGGGAAATCCTGGAGCTTCAGTAGCTGATTTAGAAGATGGGGTCTCCTTTATCCTTGGTCAGGTTCAAAGTTCTCAAAATTCTTTGGAGCCAAAGGACAGGGTTCCAATGGATAACCAAGACCTGGCATTGAAAGCTTTGAAAAGGGGGAAGCTTGTTGCTCCAGTGACACTGGATTTACCCAATGTTGAGGAATGTGAAGAATGGCCAGCTGAAGATATTAAGCAAAATAGTGTTAGCAATACAAAGTTATCTAATGGGCTGGCCAGTTTGGATGCTTTGAGTACTGATCCATCTTGCACGATGCTGGATAGCAGGACGGCCCCTGTAATAAATCCAGAGTTAAGGAATGGCTTGCAGAGTGTTAAATCTAACTCTTGTGCTGAAATGGGAGGGAGTCATAAATTGCTGTGTGATTCCAAAGACAGAAAGAAAATAATTGTCATTGGAGCTGGTCCTGCTGGCTTAACTGCTGCACGTCACTTGGAACGTCAGGGTTTTTCTGTTACTATACTCGAGGCTCGGAGTAGAATAGGTGGCCGTGTTTATACAGATCGCTCATCTCTTTCAGTCCCTGTAGATCTTGGGGCTAGTATTATAACTGGAGTTGAGGCTGATGTGACCACTGAAAGAAGACCAGACCCTTCCTCATTGATTTGTGCTCAGTTGGGCCTTGAGCTGACTGTGCTAAATAGTGACTGTCCTCTTTATGATATTGTGACCGGAGAAAAGGTTCCTACAGATCTGGATGAAGAATTGGAAGCAGAGTACAACAGCCTTCTTGATGACATGGTCTTGGTTATTGCTCAGAAAGGGCAACATGCTATGAAAATGTCTCTGGAGGATGGTTTAAGCTATGCCCTCAAGACACGTCGCATGGCACACCCTGGAGCCTTTTTCGATGAAACTGAATCAGGAAATGCAGTGGATGCTTTATATGATTCCAAAACTTGTAGTGTTGATGGTGGAGCTCCTGAGAATTCTAAAGAGGAGATTCTGAGTCCTCTTGAGAGGAGGGTTATGGATTGGCATTTTGCTCATTTGGAGTACGGCTGTGCTGCTTCTCTCAAGGAAGTTTCTCTTCCCTACTGGAATCAAGATGATGTTTATGGAGGATTTGGAGGAGCTCATTGTATGATTAAAGGGGGTTACAGTAATGTTGTCGAGTCTCTTGGGGAAGGACTCTCCATTCACTTGAACCATGTAGTCACAGATATTTCATATGGCATCAAAGATGCTGGAGCAAGCGTGAGTCATTGTAGCAAAGTCAAAGTCAGCACCTCGAATGGTAGTGAGTTTTTGGGAGATGCTGTGCTGATTACCGTGCCTCTTGGGTGCCTGAAAGCAGAAGCCATCAAGTTTTCCCCTCCGTTACCGCAATGGAAACGTTCTTCCATTCAGCGACTTGGTTTTGGAGTTCTTAATAAAGTAGTCCTTGAATTTCCAGATGTTTTCTGGGATGATTCTATGGATTACTTTGGTGCGACTGCTGAGGAAACTGATCGGAGGGGTCATTGTTTTATGTTTTGGAATGTCAAGAAAACTGTTGGGGCTCCTGTTCTTATAGCCCTAGTGGCTGGTAAGGCAGCTATTGATGGCCAAAGAATGAGCTCATCTGATCATGTAAGTCATGCATTAATGGTTCTTCGTAAACTTTTTGGGGAGGCTTTGGTACCTGATCCAGTTGCATCAGTGGTGACTGATTGGGGCAGGGATCCTTTCAGCTATGGTGCTTACTCCTATGTTGCCATTGGATCATCCGGAGAAGACTATGATATATTAGGCAGGCCTGTTGAGAACTGTGTATTTTTTGCGGGTGAAGCCACCTGCAAGGAGCATCCAGACACGGTTGGTGGTGCTATGATGAGTGGACTCCGGGAGGCAGTGCGTATAATTGACATATTGAGTATGGGAACTGATTTTACAACAGAAGTAGAGGCAATGGAGGGGGCACAGAGACACTCAGAGGTTGAACGCGATGAAGTTAGAGACATAACAAAGAGACTTGAGGCAGTTGAGCTGTCCAATGTATTGTATAAGAATTCTCTAGATCGGGCCAGGCTTTTAACCAGGGAAGCTTTGCTACGAGACATGTTCTTCAGTGCAAAAACCATTGCAGGACGTTTGCATCTGGCCAAGAAGTTGTTGAATCTTCCTGTTGGAACTTTGAAGTCCTTTGCTGGGACCAGGAAAGGGCTTGCTATGCTCAACTCATGGATTCTGGTATGTTTTTTATTTCACAGCATCCCACCCTGTTAGGAATCTAGACCACTGGGACTTTACAAATTATCTCAAAATTCTCAAGCTGCTAGTGTCATTTAATGATGATCATATGCAGACCAAAAAATCCTAACCATATGGATCTATTCGATTTATTGCAGGACTCAATGGGGAAGGATGGGACTCAACTCTTGCGTCACTGTGTTCGTCTTCTTGTGCTAGTTTCAACTGATTTACTTGCTGTGCGTTTGTCAGGTATATTTTCTGATCTACATGCAACTTGAGCATGTCTACTCGTTGAATACAAAGTGTTTACTTATAGAGATGTTTGATGGGACTTGCAGAAGTGATCAGACATCAGAAGTCGTGGATTCAAAATATTAAACCATTTGTTGAAATTTAATTTGTTTGAACAGGCATAGGGAAAACAGTGAAAGAAAAGGTGTGTGTGCATACAAGCCGTGATATACGTGCCATAGCAAGCCAGCTGGTTAGTGTGTGGCTTGAAGTCTTCCGCAGGGAAAAAGCTTCAAATGGTGGGGTAAAGTTACCAAGGCATGCAACTGCATTGGAGTCTTCAAAGAGGAGATTTTTCAACAATTCAACCTCAGGAAAGCCACCTTTGCACACTCATCATGGTGCTTTGGAGAATAGTGGCAATCTGCAGGTTTCTACATCGATTAGAGGGCCCTTGCCAACAAACTCTAACATGGAAAAAGGAAAGAGCAAGCCAGAAACTCTGAATTGCTCAAGCAGACTGGGTACTGAGGTAGAGGAGGGTAACACAATTGCCATCTCTGAAGAAGAACGGGCTGCCTTAGCTGCAGAGGAGGCAGCTCGTGCTGCTGCCCATGCAGCTGCCCAGGTTTGTTTCTTTTGTACCGTATTCATTGCATGAAGTGCGATTCTCTTCTAAAGTTTCCTCATTCCCATGAAATTTTGTAAAGCAATTCTGTCTACTTGGAAATATATACGAACATCCACTGCCTGGTTACTGTTTTTAACAAAACAAACCTTGTGTGGATTTTAGCTTGAGGTTTTGAAAATCTTTTTACATGATTTTGTGGGTTGGTGGAAGAAAAATGCTACTGCATTTTGTTTTTTTCTTTTCTTTTACCCCTTCCTCTTATATATGGATGGTAATTTGGTGCATGTTAATAGTGTGTAATCCACTGTAAAAAATGATGAACATGTGTGCAAGGATACCACAAGTTTTTCATCTTGATTGTACATAGACTAGCTCTTTCCTTTTACTTTAAGGCTGCTTTCTTTTCTCATCCAGTTGTGATTACCTTTATGAAGAAATTAAATAGCGGTAGCACATTGCAGGCATATGCATCGTCAGAAGCCAAGTTTAGCACATTGGTGCAGCTGCCTAAGATACCCTCGTTTCACAAATTTGCTAGACGGGAACAATATGCACAGATGGATGAATATGATCTCAGAAGAAAGTGGTCTGGTGGTGTTATGGGAAAACAAGACTGTATATCAGAAACTGACTCAAGAAATTGCAGGGTTAGGGACTGGTCTGTTGATTTCTCTGCTGCCTGTGCTAACTTTGATAGTTCAAGAATGTCGGGTGATAACCTATCTCAGCGGAGCCATTCAAATGAGATTGCTTCACATATGAGTTTTAGAGAACAGTCTGGAGAAAGTGCAGCAGTGGACAGTAGCCTTTTTACAAAAGCATGGGTGGATACTGCTGGTAGTGCAGGGATAAAGGGCTATCATGCCATTGAGAGATGGCAATGTCAAGCAGCAGCAGCTGATTCAGATTTTTTCCATCGGGCCATGCATATAAAAGATGAAGAGGATTCAAACACAAGTTCTAGACCACCGACCTGGAAGCATGATGGAAGAGCAAATGAGAGCTCCATCTCACAGGTCACTGTAAACAAGGAGCCATCAAAACGTCATTCTCAAGGTGCTGATCGTATTAAACAGGCTGTTGTTGATTTTGTTTCATCATTGCTCATGCCTGTTTATAAGGCAAGGAAAATTGACAAGGAGGGGTACAAATCAATAATGAAGAAAATTTCAACCAAGGTTTGCACATTTTTCCTCCAGCTCCTCCTTTATTTTGTTTCTAATTAATTGCTCTTGGGCTGTAAATATGTATGATTTGGTTATCCAGGATGTTGCAACTATCTGTTCTGTCACTGTCTTACACATATACTATTTGTCATCAGGTCATGGAGAAGGCTACAGATGCAGAAAAAGCCATGGCTGTTTCTGAGTTTCTTGATTCCAAGCGCAAGAATAAGGTTTGTACCCCAATAGCATAGTATTGACATCAAGTCTTCCCTCCTTCAATGTAGACATTTCCATTCCTTCTGAGAACATTCCTTGCTTGTTCAAGAAACATTCCTTTGCCAAGCTTTTAATACACCGGGACTTGTTTTTTCGTTTGGCAGCAATAGTATAGTTCCTAATTATCATTTTTACATCATATACTGCCCAATTTACTTGGAAATTTGCATCAGTTACCTATCCATCCTTCATCACCCATATTTTCATTAGCATGAAGCAGATAGCTTCTTTTTATTGTTCTTTTATGTTATTACCTCTTAGAAAACTTTTCTTGTGGGTAACATCCTTCCACGAGTATGTTTTTTCATTCTATGATCTCGATGTTATTTTCCATTTTCATCCTCTCTGAAACTTAATAATCTTTGGATGCTTTTAATATGCAGATCCGTGCCTTTGTGGATAAATTGATTGAGAACCACATGGCAATGAAGCCATCTGTTGAACCTTGACAGTCCCCAGAATTGACTTGCCTGTTTTCAAGTAATGCTTCTGTGACATTTACAGAAAGTCCATTCATTTCTGTTCCTTCAAGAGTTCACAGTATAAGATGTTAGCCATGGAGTTTGTGGCTCGGCCCGTGTAAATGCTTAATTTTGGAGTGCCAATATGCTGTTAATGATGCAGAAAGTGCCATAGCAGAAAGGGGACAGTTTTCCTGTTGAAATCAGGAGGGCCCCAGTGAAGATTGATCAATATCCAAGTATTCTTGCAAATGTCTTCAGATTCTACTGGAGTGCAGCTCAGAGGGCCATAGGAGCTTGACAATTGCTGTAGCTCTGATTACAAGGATTGCATCAGCATATTTTGAATCATATTGTTCCTTGCAATTGGTTCGTCACGTCAACAATGATTCTGAGGCATTGAGAATTGATGCCTGACTTTTTTTTAATTCAGGGATTGGGATAGAGGAGACACTACTTAGTTCTGACATTTTCTTGTTTGCTACATGTACAGTCTAGGATTGTTTCAGTCTTGACAATTGACAAACATACAGAATATTTCTCTCTTACTCCAAGAAGTGCTAAAGTGCTTCTCTGATTTTTCTAGTAAAATGTTGCTAATTTTTCTGTTCTCTGAAATTTTAATGCAAGGAACATGTTCTGCATTTATGACAGCCTTTCTAGGCTAGGCTATGTCCAGTTGCTCTCTGTGGGTGTGTTTGCATTTGTTGATGTGCATTGACGTAGCATCAATGTGCATGGAGTTTACTTTTATTACCTTAAATCCCAGCTCAGCGATGTGTATGTATGCATGGCATTTGAAAATCAAAATGGTAAGAGGTCTTTGTAATAATTGGCCGACTTAGCATCTGGAGTTCATCTTTTTGTTTTTTTAATTGCAACAATTGCACCAATGTGTAGACTTTGTCGCATTGTATGTATCTCAAAAGTAGTGACTCTAGCTAATCCTTGCTTGTCTTTTGGCTATTATCTTACTGCTCACATTTTCTGTTGCTGCCAGGTTGGGAAACATATTGTGGTTGTCTTGCCAATGCGAGGTATGCCCGTTTCATATACAAGTCTTTCAATTTCTCTTAATGAGCTTTTAGTAACTGGATGTACTGCAACATGGCAGCCGTGTGTGCTAAATATCAGTGGCATGGAACTACTGAAGATGTGGTTAATGTCCAGAAAGCGAGTTGTGTTTGCTCTGGCAGTAATGAAGAAAACTCTGCCCCTGGTTAGTTGATGGAACGTAACATTGATTTTTAGCTTTGATTGTCTCCCATCATGTCACCGATCTCATTTAGAATTAGGGAGAGAACAAAAGTTCTTTGATGACATTGGAGTGCTCATTCAGTAAATACATTCTGCAATGTGCTGACATTTGTTTGGTTTGATTTTGATCTCTTTATGGAAAGAAGAGGGCCTTTTTTGCGCGACAATTCTCCAGGATTTTTCTCCTCCGGAGCACTGCTTTACTAATGCATAATAACTTGACGGTGACCATCTTGTGGTTCCTTTTTGGACCTGAAACGACCTCGCAAGTTTCAGCTTCAATAAAATACTTTTAAGTGGTGCCTGGCCACTGCTTGTGTTGTCATTTTTGTGCACACTTCTGACTGAATTATGATTTATCTAAATTGCCTTTACGTCAACGGGTGTTATCCTTCTGTAGATGTATTGTATTATTCTTTCATAATACATGACAAGTCGCTTTGATATGATAAAAATTTCTTACATACTCTCTTCTGTGTCAAATGCCTTTGTTATGTTATCTGTATTCTCTCCTCGACATGGTTTGGATTTGTTTGTCAAAAAACCATAAATTATGAGAATGACATTTGACATAGGAGTTTCAGACGAGGTCTGCTTGTTTTATATAATGTCCTGGGATGGTTGGATTATTGGTTACGGTTATATATATCATTTTGCATCAACAACCATGAATATATTGCTATTCGATTGTATGATAGGTTTTTTCTCGTCAGAGTCCATTTAAGTTGTCTGTGGCTGAATGCCCCTTGAAATTCAAACTGCAGAAAAGTATGAACTGAAGCCCGGCTGGTAATATACATGATTCTATTCTCAGTGGCTGGATGTTGTTTTTCGTTTCTTGTCTTGCAGCGAGGACATGGGCGTTGTCGAGTTTGATCCAAATTTCACCTGGTGACCTCCAAGAAAGCAAGCCGATGCGCCAAGCCCCTTCCATTCAAAATAAAATCAAAGGAACAACCTGTCAATTAGGGATATGTTTGGTTTGATTTTTTACAAGTAAATTTGGTTAGAAATACTTTGCCTTGAATCAAAAAATTGTGTCTAAATTTGAATCAAAATTAAAAAAAAAATTTACATATACTTACTAGCTCTAACTCATTATCTTTATTTTTCAAGAACAAGTTTAAGAATATGTTTTTATTAGAAATAATTTTTATTTGAAAAAAAAAAATATTTTTCTTATTAATTTGAATTTACACCTACCTAAGTTTGGTTTGACAGCTATTTTTTAGTTTATATTGCAGTATTTAATATCATGATAGTGGTTTGTTTTTAAAATATGTTTTTGTTTATTTGAAAATGTATAAAAATAATATTTTTTAATTTTTTATGTTAGTATATTAAAATCATCTAAAAAAATTAATTTTAAATAAAAAAATACAAAATTTAAAAAAATGCAAAACAGGTACTGTATCTTGATGCAGGCTGGCTTTTGAGCCCAATAACTTCCTTCGCGGAGAAGCTCTCTCCAGTTTCTCTTATTATTAGAAAATAAATAAATAAGTTAATTAATTAACACAAGAGCTCTAGATTCAATCGTCCTCGCCAAAACTCGTCAAAATCCAAAAACAAAATGTCTTCAACATTCAGTGGCGATGAAACTGCGCCGTTCTTCGGATTCCTTGGCGCTGCTGCCGCCCTCGTTTTCTCCTGTAATTTTTATCTCTTTATTTGTTTGGAACCAAATTCTGATGTGGATCTATGAATATTAAGATTCTAGTTATTTTCATTGATGCTTACGTGGATCTGGTGTTTTGATTGGGTGGTTGTTCAGGCATGGGAGCTGCTTACGGTACCGCGAAGAGTGGAGTTGGCGTTGCATCAATGGGTGTGATGCGACCAGAGCTCGTGATGAAATCCATAGTCCCGGTCGTTATGGCTGGTGTTTTGGGTATATACGGTCTGATTATTGCCGTGATTATCAGTACTGGTATTAACCCTAAGGCAAAATCCTATTATCTGTTCGATGGATATGCTCATCTTTCTTCTGGTCTCGCCTGTGGCCTCGCTGGTCTCTCTGCTGGTATGGCTATTGGCATCGTTGGTGATGCTGGTGTTAGGTAAATCTCTTGAGTGACTTAATAACTGATTCCAATTGCTCAATTTTTTTCTTTTGGATTTGTTTTTTTTTAATTATAAAAAGGTATCTTATGATTAATTCTACCGGGATAAAAAGTTTCGTGTTTCATTCGCTCAGAAGCGGTATTTGAAGCTGCTATGTGATATGCAATGCCTGTTTTAGTTGCGTTATGGTTTTGTCTTCAATATTTTGTTTTGTACTTGTTTTGTAATATGGTTGCTAGAAAGCTGCCAATAGATTGTTTGAGATCAATTTCGTGGATTGGAATAGTTGCTCAAGCTTTGGTTATTTTGGAATTGAGCTCTAGAAGCTTTGATTTTAGTTCATAAGCTCCTCCGTCAAGTGTTTGAGATTGGCTCAACTGCCTCTTGATGCTCATTGGAGTTGATGGAGCTTTAACTTGGACTCAACCTGAATTTGAACCTAGTTTGCACTCAATAAAGTTTTTAATTTAGTTTCAATTTGAAGTAATCAAATGTTTTCAAGAGAATTTAAAGGAAATGGTTATCAGCTTTAAGTTTCCATAAACAGACGTCAACTAATTTATGTAAACATAACAAATAGAGATCATGAAAAATTAATGAATGGAGGGACCCTGAAAGCCTGAATGTTATCATATATGAAAAGCCTTCCAATAGAAAATTAGATGTTAACTACAGTCACTAAAATAAGCCAAAGCTAAAGTTTACTAGACATTGCTTAGAATTGTATTCTGCTAGAATGTTTAAGGTTGAGTTTTGCAATTAGTTTATTATTGTTACTATTCCTTCCTGTTTGCACTTGTGAAGATATTTGGAAATATAAGTTTAAATGTTTGAGGTTTTCTGTTGGGTCTTGATTTTTGGAGGTTCGGCGAGAAACAGGTATCTGGTTATAATATTTTCATCACCTCTTTGATGTAGATAACTACCACTGTCTGCACTGCTTTGTTGGGTTAAACAATGAAGTTTGTGATATACTGTATACTGTTTACCTGTACTTGTTTCTTGTCTTTGTTTTGCGCTTTGTCTGTTTGACGCAGGGTGCCTTGATTAGCCTTCCATTTTTTAGGTTGATACATGCTATACAGATGGTAGTGTTCTCCTTTATGGTTTTGCGCAGTGAGTTATTGGATTTCAGTTTTTCATTGAAAGTTTAACTTTGATGTCGGGCTGTACTTTGCAGAGCTAATGCCCAGCAACCAAAGCTTTTTGTTGGTATGATCCTCATCCTCATCTTTGCTGAAGCACTGGCCCTTTACGGTCTCATTGTTGGCATCATTCTCTCCTCCCGAGCTGGTCAATCGAGAGCTGAGTAAAGAGTCCCTCTGCTTGGTGTCTGTATGGCTGTTGCGATTCATCTTTGTTAGTTTAACTTAAAAAGTGTTTTGCACTAAAAAAATTCACGTCTGACTTAAGTGCCATTGCTTATATGATAAAAATGTATAATTGGTTATTAGCTCTTCCCTTGATAAATTCTCATTGTTTAATTAATCGATGTATGTTATGGTCACATCAAATTCTTGTTGAAAGGATGCCATATTGCCTGGTTTGCTGATCCTGCACTCACCCACTGTGGTGAAGGATCCAGATTGACCTTGCCATCCATCTATAACTGCCTTGAAATATGTTTTTCTGCCGGGCTTAATAGTCTCTAGTCTATCGGCTGGTATTTTGGCCCCCTGCATTTCAACAAGCCTGGATCCGTTACCGTTTGAGGTTAGAAATTGCTTTCCAGAAACTAATGAGAGCTTAGTTCGATTTGGCCTTCGTATTTAATACAACCAAATCAACATGCTTCTGAGTGGCATTCTTAATTTTATTTCAGTTTTTGCTTTTGGTAGTTGTGTTTTGGTTACTTCGAATATTGAAGTGAAGAAATTGAGAGTAGATTATTTGCTTGCTCTCGCTGTTAATGTCATTCAGGAGTAAATTAAAGGAACGAATTGTGACTAAACACGCCTTATAAATCTTTATTAATTAATAATTACCTAAATACTCTGAAATATCTTGGTTTTTTTTATTGCGTTTAACTGCTTAATAAAGGTTTTTTAATATATATATTTTTTAAGTGTGTTCTATCAATTTAAGAGCTGCTGGGGTCGCAAGTTTGACCGCTGGTGGGTGCGTGTTTTTCCGAATTGTGCTGCCTTTTTTTTTTTTGTTAAAAAAATAAAAGGTGCATGACATGTTATTTATCAACTTAGTTCTTGTTTATTTACTGAAAAATAATTATTTTAAAAAAATAAATT